TAATCGAATGGGATAAAATTTTTGTTATACGTCGCGCATCTACCTAATTTTAATTTTATTCACAAACAATATTGAACAATTTTCGTAACTGTGTGTATCATCCGTGTGATCTTGAAGATTGAAAATCTCTTCCTTTGAAACGACTTTTCTTTTTTCTTTTTGAATATTAGGACTCATGAAATTGTACAATACGAACGTTTCATAGTTGGGTCACAAGTGCATTTCGTCTTTAGTGAAAAAAAATTTCTCAATATTTCTAGAGCCGTTTGAATCTCGACAGTTTCCAAGAGTATAAGCTCTGGAAAATATAAAAACAACGCTTAAAAATTATCAGCTCACTTTCCAGAGATTCGAGATTCATGTTACAATATATTAAATGAACGCTAGACCGCGAACATCATAGAAAATCCATGCTTAATATAAATTCTACGCTCTTCGTTCGATATTAAACTCTTGGTACGACTTTCACGAGCATTAACGAAGAATTGGAACGATACCAAGCGTGCAATTCTTTTTTTTTCCACAAACGTCGAGAATTTTTCATCGTTATCGATTCAGTAGTGCCCTTGCTTCGCCATAGAATGGCAGCGGATGAAAAAAAGAACGCGAACGAACGAAAGTAGCGAATCCCTTGGCGCTGGCAGCTGGTCCGCGGACCATAACGAGTGACCAAACCGTATATACTGCAAATAATTCGTCGCTTTCTTTTCGACGGTGATACTATCACTCGATAGAAATTACGGAGAAGTAACGTAGTATTATAATTAATCTGACTGATCTTAAATATAAGATGATACAGATAATACAGATGGTCTGTTTTGTTGATCATAGGAATATGAATGTGATGCGACAAGTCCAACACAGGCATAGACACGCGTTTCTTTTTTTTTTTTTTTTTAAAAAAGGCCAGAGTCGTGACAGTGCGTTGAAAGAGACCTGTTGAAAAGTGTCAACTGCATTGTCGAAAGAATTTATTTGAGTTGTTAATTCGTGTTGCTTTAAAGTAATTTGTCTTGTTTAATTGTTCGTGATTTTCAAGTAAACATTATTTGTATCATATCTCCACAGTGATAAATTTATCATTTGTCTCTCCTGGATTATACCTAAAACCAGAGACCGAATCGGTATTACGGTAAAATATCGATATTTTTAGGTTACTATACGATTATATTTGATGAAACCGAAATGGTGCGAATATCGGTATGATGCTATCAAAACGATGTTAGGTAGATGTATTTCGGTATAATACCGGTAAATAAAATATTAATATATTAGAAAAGGAAAAGGAGACAATGATGAAATGTTTTCATAAAGCTGCCGATAGTAAATTTGATGACGCTTATACACGTATAACTCTATATCTTATCATCTCAATATTTTATTGTCGAACATTTCTCTTCCTCTTTGACGATCTTTAATTACGTTTCTCTTTGTCAAAATAGAAACGATCTATGCTGCACATAGTTAAGATAAATATACGTATAGAATAAAGCAAAATAGGATATGCAAATACATTGCATGCAAAAGTCAGGATAAACGCAACGTGAAATGTGCAATTGTAAGAGAAAGCAACGTAGAAACCAAAATCAATTTCAAGGCCAAAGAGGCTGAAATAAATATATACATACATGCATTTATGCTGTAGAATTATTCTTTTACTTATTTCCTTCTTTTTTTTTTTAAGAAATTTTTATACAACTCCAAACAGTAATCTCAAATTACTGTGAAGAAACTAAAGTGCACTTTTGAACACTGAGAAATTCAAAGTGCACTTTAGTTTCAAAATTGACTGCAAATCATGCCCTGTTGGCGAACTATAAAGATAATGTTAAGTGATACGATAAATATTGACCTTCGACGATGATTCACTCGACGTCGAAAATCCACGTCACAAGATATACGATGGCACATTTAGATAGCAATACTGAAATTGTAATTTTTGAGAAACCAAAGTGTAGAAAAAGCGAGACATGCTTTTTTAACAGTACGGCATTACAAATAATCTTTCTGCCCATCCAATTGATAAAGATTGAGCACATTGACCAAGAAAGAGCACAAACAATTAACAGTTAGTGTGTTTCGATGATTTTTAAAATTTTATAAACGCAGGTGTAATTCGAAACTGCCTTTCGAAGATGCAGAAACAGAACGAATAAATACTCTGGTGTGGCTTTCTAGCCATCAGTTTTCATTTTTCCGCGCCTTCGAGGATCAAAAAGTGTTTTTTAAACTTAGATTGCAAGTTAGTAATTAATTAATTAATAAAAAATAAATTAATAAAAATTTTATTAAGATGAAAAAATTTTATATAAAAATTAATAATTATAGGTGAAATTTAAATTATTTATATAATATAAATTTCATATATCAAAATATATGCAAAATTAAATATTAGACCAGGATTAGATACCCTATCATACTAATGTAAAAAATACTTTCGAAAAGCGAGGATTCACAACAATATCCTTTTAATCCTGAAGGGTGTATTCTAGTGTGATGTGCATGTTTTTTTTAACTTTGTAACGGAATTTTTTGCAAAGAAATTATTGTACCTTTTGTCAAATTGACAAGGTTTATTTGCACGTATTTGAACGAGGTTTTAAAATTTTTTTTAGGACAAACATAATTATGGTTGAATAGCTAACATAATTATGGTTGAATTATTAATTACATTAATACTTTGTATATAATTTATTAAAGTTAAATATTAAATTTATTAACATAATAAAATTAATAAAAAAAATTCTTCATTATTGAATTAATGAAAATTAAACGAGGGAATTAAAATTAATAATTATAAATTGAAGTGCCAGCAACAGCGGTTAAACTTAGATTATATAAGTTAGTAATTAATTAATTAATAAAAAAACAAATTAATAAAAACTTTATAATAAGATGAAAAAATTTTATATAAAAATTAATAATTATAGACGAAATTTAAATTATTTATATAATATAAATTTATATATTAAAATATATGAAAATTAAATATTAGACCAGGATTAAATATCCTGTCATACTAATATAAAAAATACTTTTATAATAATACTTTAATATAAAATATTAAAAATACTTTTATAAAAATAAGTAAGTATTATAAAAATACTTTTATAACAATACTTTAATAAGTATTATAATAATACTTTATTATTATAATTATATAACAACACTTTAAGTAAGTATTATAAAAATACTTTTATAATAATACTTTATTAATATAAAATTAGTGGCACTGCATACTCGCAGACATAGTCGCTTTTAAAAAAAGGTCGTCTCCTTCGGATTCTGCTTGTCGGAAATAAAAAAAAACGTGGAATTAGTTCCTTAATTAGTATGAGTTTGACTATAGCGGGTACCGAAACAATAGAAAAAAAGTCGGCAATTGAAAAAGCGGCGATACTTTGATGTTCGATTGTCGATTTTTGCATGTTTTCGTTAAACTTCGGAAGCCTAAAAAAAAATATAAAAAATAAAATTCTTTGGTTGATTCTGGTAGAGACTATAGTCACGCATGTACTAAATGCGCACTTAAAATTTTTAGACAATTGGTCAAGTAGATTTCAAGATATCATGGACACCACGTTCTGAAAAACCATAGTTTCCAGAAAAATGCGTTTAAAGTTTAGTATTGCGTGATGCAATGACGCTGGTCGTAGCGTCTTTCAAACAACCATAACTTCGTTAATGTTACGGATTTATTTTTGAAACTATGTCCTTTAAGGACATACAAAAAAAAAAGTCGATTTTTTTCAAAAGTTCACGCTAGAATACACCCCTTATTAACTCCAGATACTTTCCTCCAGCTGTGCCACGTTGTTAACTCAAATAACTGTGTACACTCTATCACATTCCTCTCACAATGACTTCTTGCACCGTCGATAAGATAAAAAACACAATGGTGAGAAAATGAATTAATAAATGGATGTTACGAAGAGGCCTTGAAAGGGGAAAGATCATCGTTATTTCATCGACCAAATAATCACGTATCGATTCCAATTTCACTCGTAAATAAACAAATGATCGCGGATGTTCGAATTCAAGGAACCAGGGAATAACGTGGCGTGAGGAATAAATTTATAAAATGGATCGACGCGTTAAATACAGCGTCAAAGTCAGCTGACATAAACTTGACGAAAAACTTGGAACTTCCTGTAGTATTTATGGAGCACGGTATCCTGCGACGTTTATGGTATTTCAAATAAGTGCGCGGACACATGTAAAGACCAAAAAAAAAAAAATGCAGAACCAGACGCAAGAAACCTCGTGACCACCATCAAAGTGACGGAGTAAAATTGTAGAAAGTTGAAGAACGTTATTGAAAAAGTTCATCTCTATTAACAGCGCCACGGAACACGATTTTGGAACGTCTTGATACCTTGAGGTCGAATTTAGCGGCGAGCGTTCATAAGAGTTCGATTCATTGATTCATTGATTGCAAAAATGTGACGATAGGGACTCTAAAACTAACGTGGCAACGTTGAAGTTCCACCGGAACAGGAGACGTTAGAATGAAAAGCTTCTGGAAAATGTTAGACAAATCTCGCGCCCTCGAAATTATGAATAAAATGTTCAATCTCTTATCGAAATTATTGCCCAATCGAGCAATTGTGATTTAATAATTTAAGTAATTCAATAATAATAATAATAAGTAATTTAATAATAATAAGTAATTGTAATTCAATAATAAACTCTAACATCGTGTCGAATTTGTGAATGAGATCTACAAAAACGACTTGTTAGTGCACCATCAACTTGTTAAGTGCCACGAGTGTTCTCTCGTTCTTGACTCTCGTCAATTATTTCGCCACCTCACTCAATATTTGTATCATGACTTCTGAGACGCCCTGTATCTAAGAAACACCTCGCACAAAAAAAAAGAACGTGCAAAATGTAAAAAAAAAAAAAAAAGAAAAAAAGATAGCGTCAACGAGATATTATATCGTCTGACTGTTCGTTTCGAAGCGGAAGAAAATCAAGGATCATTTGAACAGGTGACTCACCGTGCATATAGGAAGCAAGAGACCAATAACGTAGAGCATCGCGCTAGTTACTGTCGACGGGTGAAACGGATGATACAAAGACTCGTCGTTGCAAAAGAATCCCCGTTCGTATGGTTTGCCGAACAGGAAGAACAACAGCACCGAGGCGCCCACTGAAAACAGAAACGGTGAGATTTTAATTAATTTTCAGTATAATTGTTGTAATTATAATTTCTATTATTATTTTATTATTATTATAATTATTATTATAATTATTATAATTATAATTTTTATTGGTATTATAATTTTTATATTAATTATTATAATTATAATTTTTGTTATTATTATTTATTGTTATTACAATCTTTATTATAATTATTATAATTCTAATTTTTATTATTATTATTTATTGTTATTACAATTTTTATTATAATTATTATAATTCTAATTTTTATTATTATTATTTATCGCTATTACAATTTTTATTATAATTATTACAATTCTAATTTTTATTATAATTATTACAATTCTAATTTTTATTATTATTATTTATTATTGTTATAATTTTTATTATTATTTATTATTGTTATAATTTTTATTATAATTATTATAATTCTAATTTTTATTATTATTTATTGTTATTACAATTTTTATTATAATTATTACAATTCTAATTTTTATTATTATTTATTATTGTTATAATTTTTATTATTATTATTTACTGTTATTACAATTTTTATTATAATTATTACAATTCTAATTTTTATTATTATTATTTATTATTGTTATAATTTTCATTATAATTATCATAATTTATTTACTGGATTGGCCAAAAAGTAATTGTATTTTAAAAAGTAAATGTTTTTTCCCAATAGATTGACAAGTGTATATGTATGTATGTATATATATATATATATAAAATTTATCTAGTATTTATCATTAGTATGATCTAAATAATGATCAAAAAAGTCGTTAAATATGACGACTGAAGGTTGTTGTTGAATGATTAAAAGTAATTTGCATCGCACAAAAATATCCTCTTCTTCATACAAAATAAGGATCACATTTTCCCTGAGTTTCTAAACTTTCATTAAATTCTCGTTCTCGTTTTCGGTCTTACGTGCATAATTTCATTAAAAGGACACGAACGTTGCTGACTTAAGCGTCACCGCACGCGCGTAAATAGAAAGGAGATTTATGGCCGTTGCTCGTCGCGAATAGCGATACATCGTCCTTGGCATAAACGAGACATCATCGTATTACGGGATGACAATCCGTGTAATGATAACTAAATTTGTCGAGCGCTCGTGCGCGCTCGAATACTGTCTGATTCAAACTATGCGCGCCTCCCCTCGTACGCTGATGACACATCATGTATCTCATTTGCATTTTAAACAAGGAACAAATGTATAACGAAATGGTAAACTGTTAGTTAATGATTTGTTATTCTGTTGACTGAACGCTGAGTCACATACAATTTATACTTATATATAAATACTTATATATAAATAGTCACAAGATTTATACTTATATATAAATATATATGTATATTATATATAAATATATGTATATTCGTATCTATATATAAATCGTATTTATATATAAATATATGTATATACTTATATATAAATATATGTATATTCGTATCTCGATAGCAAGTTTAAATATTAAGATGTTTTGTCTTGTTAGATGTTGCAAGGAAATACCGATTTTACTCAATAGTAAATATAAAGTTTCGAAACTTGGGGAAATTTTCTTTCCCTTTTTTACAGAATTATTTGCCAATCAATGAGATTGTGCTGTTTATTTATGTATTTAATCTTCCATAGCTTGAAATTCGACTGACATGTACTATTTAGTTTTTTTTTTTTTTTTTTTAGATCGTTCGTAAGAATTTATATTCTTTATAATCACCAATGATTCTCCTAGAATGTCGAGAACAAGACTCGATAAAAGAATTCCTACAAAACAGTTAATCAAAATCTAACCTAACCGAAACTCAACTTAAACCTAACCTAAACTTAACCTGATCCACCATCTTGAAACCTAACCAAAACCATCTTGAAATCTTACTTAAACCACCATCTTGAAACCTCACCTAAACCATCTTGAAATCTAACTTAAACCACCATCTTGAAACCTAACCTAAAGCATCTTGAAATCTAACTTAAACCACCATCTTGAAACCTAATCTAAACCATCTTGAAATCTAACTTAAACCACCATCTTGAAACCTAATCTAAACCATCTTGAAATCTAACTTAAACTACCATCTTGAAACCTAACCTAAACCATCTTGAAATCTAACTTAAACCACCATCTTGAAACCTAACCTAAACCATCTTGAAATCTAACTTAAACCACCATCTTGAAACCTAACCTAAAGCATCTTGAAATCTAACTTAAACTACCATCTTGAAACCTAACCTAAACCATCTTGAAATCTAACTTGAAACCTAACCTACACCATCTTAAAACCTAACCTAAGCCACCACCTTGAAACCTAACCTAATCCACCCGACTTAAAAACAACCACACGTTTGATGATTGTACATCACATCCTATTTCAGTGGAACGTACAACTTTATCAACTCGAATTACCAGGGGAAACCAGAGGGACAGTAAACTCGACAAGCTTATTTTCACAAATCGTTGGTCACCGATGAAATCGCGTCGCACATCGGCAAGATATCGGCGAGAGACTACCGGTTTGCCTCCTTCTTTTTTTACCTAACAGCCAGTCCGAGGCTGCGATAATTCGAAAATTGAACGCCAGTCGTTCTCTGTCGCATGTCGCATTTATTCAAGCAACGAGTTTTCATCATTTGGAGATTTATACAGTGTACAGCCGGGACCGAAAATGAACGCTTAAGTGGGAAGTGGTGTTATTCTGCAAATTGACGTCGAAAAAAAGAAAGAGAGACAGTCTCAATTCCAAAAATTTGGTGGAGATAAGCGACGAACGCTTACGAGTAAAAAAAAGTGCGGTCACTTATGATGGCACCACTGTGTATCTGTATACTGTGCGATGGCAAACGCATCCAAGTCGAAAAAGTGGGCGGAAAAATCACGAGTAAAGGTGAAATTACAGCGTTATTGGACGCGGTTACCCTTCGCTGTTTGCTCGATGAAAATCGTGAGAAGGCCTCGCCTCCGCCACTACCTGGAAATCGCTCGACCGAGCTCAGCTATTAAGATAATTGTCACGCTGGCTTTTAAAGTAAAACAGAGAGGAAGGGGCGATACAGTGGGCAGCGGGCAGTAAGCAGCTCTAGCGACTCTCGCAAACATCGCACGTGGTCATTATTTATGCAGCAAACTGCATACGTCCGAGCTGATCGCGGTTGCATATACATTTAGTACGGACTGGTTGAAGTTCCACGATCATTCGCCCCGGTAATCGTGCCTCGAATTTATTGCCAGCGGCAGCTGGTATTATTTAGAAATATGCGGGATATACCGTGTGTTTTTCGAGCTATTGGCACGATGTTCGAATTGCCGTTCCGAGAAAACCGCGTGGTTTTATCGCTCCGTTGAATATAACCGACAACCGGGTGAGATTTTGGCGTGCCCCGAGGAATTTCCAAGTTCTTTTCCCCTTTTCGTTTGTTTTTCTTTTTTTTTTTCTTTTTATTTAACAATGAGAACTTTTTAAAAAAATTAATTCTACGAATGTTACTCTTTTCTTTCTGGAGTAAGCAGATCAAAGAATGTAGATTATACGGAGAGAATTTAAAATGAATTTTACTTTTTTTGAAGTAGGATGATGTACATGTATAAATTTCAATTATACAAGTTCGCGCAAAAATGAAGTTTTATTGCGCAAATAAAAAATGAACGAAAAATAAGGAATAAAATTCTTCCAGCGTGAAAATTTCAGCTCTGAATCGAAATTCAAAGTTGCAACACAGTTTGACAAACTTTTCATTTATGTTCCTTCGTTATGGACAGAATCATCAGACGATACTGTCAGAAATTAAATGTACAGTAGATCCGTTGACTATAAACTGTAGACTAGAGCTGTAGATGTAGAAGGAAACTAAATGTAAAATTCAAGGTGAATTGGAACTGAATGTAGAACTATTAAACTGGGACGCACAGAGTAGTGGCTAACAATTCCTTCCAGTCTATCTTTACCTAATCGACATCAAAATATAAGAAGAAACTAATTTTGTTAATTTTGTTAATTTCAAATTAAATTGATGTTCGGACATGATTTTTTCATTATTTCGTTTTAAAAATTATTTCTTTCAAACGTTGAACCGTCAAAATGTTTGCAAATTTGTGCTGTTTTTTCAGTAGATAGTGATTTTTGGTCTAACATAATATATAGGTATTTTCCATATATTCTTAATATATAATACAGGTATGTAATATATATCCATGCCTAATTTATTATATTATTATATATATTATATATATTACCTGATACCTAATATATTATATATATTATTATAATACCTAATGTACCTAATACCAAATATATTATGTATATTATAATAATATCTAATGTACCTAATACCTAATATATTAGGTATACATTATGTATATTATATATTATAATGTACCTACTACCAAATATATTACGTATATTATAATAATATCTGATGTACCTAATACCTAATATATTATGTATATATCATATATATTATAATAATACCTAATGTACCTAATTTACCTAATATATTATATATATTATAATAATGCCTAATATACCTAATATCTAATATATTCTGTATATTATATTAATACCTAATGTGCCTAACACCAAATATATTAAGTATATTATAATAATACTTAATGTATCTACTACCCAATATTCTGTATATTATAATAATACCCAATGTACCTAATACCTAATATATATATTGCATACCTATATTATATATTAAGGATATATATTATATATAATATATTAGGTATTAGGTAAGTTAGGTATTATTATAGTATACATAATATATCAAGTATTACATACATTAGGTATTCTTAACATCTTATCACGCCTGTGTCGCTGTTTTAAAATCGTAAATTGAAGGAAGCTGGTCATGAAAGAGGCGTCGAAATTAAGTCGAACATCGAACGAGACGCGACAGGCGTTAACTATAATTGGCGAATATTATCGCCCGTTTTCTTGTCAATCGCTTAATTGGGTTGCATGTTTATCTCTACACCAACTATGCACGTACATATACATACGTGCAGCTGATGTCGTAACATCCGTTCCAGATAAAATCACTCCATTCGAAAATTTTAATTAACGCCTCGTGGTAAATCTAACAAGCAAAAACTGGATAAGCAGTTCCCATTAATTCGTCGTTACGCGTGTAACTCGTTCGCCCTACTCTGTTCGTGAAAAATCGCGATCATTGATACGCGTAGATAGTACGAAACGCTTCGAAGGCGGATAACGAGCTTCGACTGCCGTTCGATTATCTGAACTAAACGTAAAAGATCGAGAGTGTTTCAAATGAAATTAAACCGAGCCACAAATTACCTTCATTTTTCGTTCATTTTCGTATGCTTCTCCTCCTACCTCTCTTCTGATCAATTAGCATATTATCAAAAAAATATTAATATTAGTATTATTAAAAAATTAATAATTAATAAAATTAATAAAATTAATAATTAATAATAATTAATAATATTAATATTTTTAATATTATCGAAAATATATTAATGTTAGTATTATTATATTACCAAAAATATGTTAATTAATAAAATTAATTATCAAAAATATATTAATTAATAAAATTAATAATTAATTTTAATTAATAATATTAACATTTTTAATATTATCAAAAATATATTAATGTTGGTATTATTATATTATCAAAAATATATTAATATTAGTATTATCATATTATCAAAAATATATTAATATTAGTATTATTAAAAAATTAATAATACTAATATTAATATTAGTTAATAATTAGAATTAAATTAATATTATTAAAAAAAATTATTTACATTTGCATTGTTACTTAAATTCTTTCGCGCAATGTGTCTTTACAGAGAATTATATATTTATTTTACAGAGAAAAAAAAAGTAACGTGTGGCACGAGTGGGCTTTTTTCATACGAGGCTCAAAGAAGAAAAAATGACTGTCGTAACATTATTATTATGTCCTAAGCGTATCTACGTTCCGTGAATTTTACGTAACGTCAAGTATGTAAGTTAAGTAACAACATACATATGCATGAGATTAAGAAAAAATGATTGTCAACTATCATATCGACACGAGATTATCCAATCGTCGAACTCGCACGATCGTATTAAATCGAATCGAGGAAAATAAAGAGGACAGAAGAGAGTGGCGATTGTGCACATCAACATTTGTATGAACTTTGTCCACAGATATTATACTTGTTACGTGATTCAAGTAGAAAAAAAAATTTCGCAAATGAAGTATATGCGTTCAGAGACAACGCCCCAAGCATCGTCGCGCAATTCGAAAATAACAATAAACATAATAACTGCGCGATTTTTCAACGATCGAACTAATGACGAATTCTCTATACGATTTTAAACATGTTTGTGTGACTTGCCTATCACACATAACGAAATAGTAAAAAAATGTATAATATAGTATATTATATTTAATATTATAGTATAGTATATAACAAATATATTATATTATATAGAAATTGTAGTATATAATATTATAGTTATAAGTATATAAGTTATAAGAATATAGTATACTGTATTTAGTATTATAGTATAATATAGTATATTGTATTTAGTATTATAGTATAATATAGTATATTGTATTTAGTATTATAGTATAATATAGTATATTGTATTTATTATAGTCTAATATATTATAGTGTATTTATTATAGTCTAATATATATACTATAATAGAATATAGTATATTATATTTAGTATTATATATAATATATACTATAGTATAAATATATTGTTTAGTATTATATAAATAGTATAAATAATAGTAATAAGTATATTATGTTATATATTAGTATTATAGCATATAATAGTATAATTATAAGTATATAACTTATAAGAATATAGTATATTATATTTATATATTTATTACTATATTATACATTTTAATATAAATATAATATAGTACATTATATTTAGTATTATAGTATAGTATATATAATATTAATAAATATATTATATATATAGTATTGTGGTATAGTTATAAGTATATAAGTTATAAAAATATAGTATATTGTATTTAGTATTATAGTATAGTATATAATAAATATATTGTCTAGTATTATATAAATAGCGTAAATAATAGTAATAAATGTATTATGTTATATATTAGTATTATAGTATATAATAGTATAGTTATAAGTATATAATTTAAGTTATAAGAATATAGTATATTGTATTTAGCATTATAGTATAGCATATAATAAATATATTATATTATATATTAGTATCATAGTATAGTATATAATAAATATATTATATTCTATACTAGTATTATAGTATACTAGTATTATAATACAAGTTATAAGAAAATATACTATATTATATTTAGTATATCATAGCATAGCATACAATAAATACATTAGACATAATTATGTTTCTCATTTCTTCCTTCCATTATTGCCAGCGAATGTAAAAGCTAATCTAACGAAGTAAACTTTCGCGTCTGGAATGTTTCGGGACGAAGCATCTCCGACACATTAACACATGATCGACAAAGGATGAAGGTGAATGGCAGCGCGAAGAAACGGTATTATTAAATGACTGGCAACGACTTCAGTCATCCGGTCAGCAAGAATTCACGGCGATGACCACCTATGATACCTATACATACATACATACATACATACATACATATGTACACGTACATGTGTGCACCTATGCTTTTAAATGGATGTCAAGGCGGATCTAAATCGATTTTGCTTTCTCAGACTGTACACACCGTAGGACACACGCCCGTCCCGTTCGTAATCGTGAATAATACGCACGTACATATTGTGTTCATTATCAGTCCTTGCATAACACGCGTTCGCGCCAAGTGTATTGGAAACCGGCGAGTATATTACACCCGGCGAGGTTACCGACACATGTATACTGTTACTGCAAATTGTTTTCGTATTAGTATCGATTACGTTTATTTAGTGGCGGGGGAAACGGCGAGAAACATGTTGATGTTCGCGATTCTCCTTTTGCGCGGCATTATCAGATGAAATAAAAGAGAGGATACGTGCTCCGGTTTACAGCTCAATCACGTACATATGTGTACAGCGATGGTCATTTAAAACCGATGTACGTCGATACTTGGATGCTATTCTATACGTTTATTGCTACGTTATATTGTACTATACATTTATTATTACTGCATATACGTATATTATGCTATATTACACATTCATTGCTATATCATACTGTATTATATTTATTCTATACTGTAATACTAATATATAATATATTTATTATATAAAACTATTAACTATATTTTGAGTATACTGTAAAACTATACTATTAACTATATTTTTAATATACTGTAAAATGCTATTAACTATATTTTGAATCTACTATAAAATACTATTAACTATATTTTGAATATATTGTAAAACTATACTATTAACTATATTTTGAATCTACTGTAAAATACTATTAACTATACTTTGAATCTATTATAAAATACTATTAACTATATTTTGAATCTACTATAAAATACTATTAACTATATTTTGAATATATTGTAAAACTATACTATTAACTATATTTTGAATATACTATAAAATGCTATTAACTATATTTTGAATCTACTATAAAATACTATTAACTACATTTTGAGTATACTGTAAAACTATACTATTAACTATATTTTGAATCTACTATAAAATAATATTAACTACATTTTGAATATACTGTAAAACTATACTATTAACTATATTTTGAGTATACTGTAAAACTATACTATTAACTATATTTTGAATATACCACAGAATTATACTATGGACTATATTTTAAGTATACTATGAAACTATATTATTAACAATACTTTAAATATACTAAAAAAGCATAGTATTATATATTTTTATCACAAATGAATAAATATGTTGTGTCAATGTTATTTAACACCGAAGCTACCCTTCTGTCGATGCTGAAAAAAAAGATTTCCCTCAGAGATATTAAAGTAAAAAGAATAGAAAAATTTTACAACACAATAGCAATAAAAATTGTACAGGGTTTTACAATAAAAGCAAAGCTTTTATTTACACAATTTCCAATGTCATTCAAGAATCATTTGAATCTCTAAAAAAAAGAATACATTATTTTACATGTATAAAATTTCTAAATATATATATATATATAAACTGATTATTCTAACCATGTTGACGGTTGTAGTATGACACCTTCGTCTCTCCAAACTAATTCATCAGCCTGTCATTAACAGCATTTGCGGCGTTGATACGTGTTATTAATTAATAATAAAATTCGTTTGAATCCGTGTATTTCAAGTACAACGTATTACAGTAATATACGTGTCAGTAATTTCCTTCATAAACTGGTACCGGAGTTTGAAAGAAAAAAAAAAAAAAAGAGGAAGAAAACCACGAGAAAAGCGATCCAGAGGATATCCTACACGAGTACAATTTCCTCCTCTTGACACCTTAAGAGTAAGAACCAGAAATAACACAGGTACTATCCATCTAAATATATTCATTAGCTGATTGATATTTTCTAAATATGTTTTTTCTTCCAACTGGTTCCTTTAAATACTTTTATTCATCTAACCGGTCCATTGAAACAAGACACTCTATCGGAAACATTCGAACCACGTCGTACCGACAATTCCAACACCCACAACGTTAAATCATTCTGCGAATAAGAAAATATCCGATCTCGCGTTGAAATAAATTCCCCCTCTTACCGAGTGTCTGAAACAGAAACGGTCGACTAATTTCCATCTAAACGGGCGGACTCGTTCGGAATAAAATACACCTAAAAAGATACAGACCACGGTTTTCCGAGTGCAGAAATTGAATATTTCGTTGAACGTTTCTGCTCGTTACGAACTGCGTTAAGATAGAAACTTCAAGCGTGAATTTTAAAGTATATATATCGATCGAATTTCATTTACAAGTCAATCAAGTTGGAAATAACAAATCTAACGATTCAGTGGAATCTACAGTCCATTTGCATTCTACGCTCATTAAATTCCATTTTGTCAATATTATAATTTATTCGAAATCGTACCGGAATTTTAATACAAACGATTTAACAAATATTAAACATTAAATTATTACATAATATACAGGATGTTTCGTAACTTGTAGGATCCACTTCGGGAGCTGATTATACGCCTAATAAAATAATGAAAGAAAAGTCATATAAATAAGTGTTCTATCTGTCTTCGTTTATGAGATATAATGAACTTTATAAACAGAGCAAACTCTAGTAAGCTAGTTTCACCAGGGATGGTACATTCAACTTTCATAATAATCATAATTGGGATGAAGAAAACCCACGTGTTATTGTGCAGTCAAGATCATCAACACCAGTTTAATTGAAACGTATGGACAGGAATAATTGATAAATTTTTAATTGGACCTTTTTTTCTTGATGGGAAACTAACAGGCACAAAGTACGTTGATTTTTTTCAGCACGCGTTTACACGAAATATTAGAGAAAGTTCCAGTCGATATTAGATCTTCGTACGCGGTTTATGCATGATGGAGCTACGCCGCATTTTAGCCGAGTGGCCAGGCAATTTTTCAATCAACACTTTGCAAATAAATGGATTGGTCGTGGAGGTCCTACTTGCATGGCCTGCTCGTTCTCCGGATTTGAATCCATTCGATTTTCATTTGTGGGGACATTTAAAATCTATTGTATACGCAACGTCGATTGAACACGCTGAAATACTACGAAATAGAATAGAGCAAGACTTCTGACAAATTCGAGAAACACCAGGAATGATAGAGAGAGAGAGAGAGAGAGAGTACACGTGACAACGAGAACAGACGAAGAGAAAAGACGTTCCAGGATCGAGAACATTTAACGAGCGACTTTCTTCTCAGGGCTCCGAAGCAGTGTTATGCGATGGTGGTAACGGTTTCGAGGCAATGAGGTTCACATGGTGTGTCGCGTGTGCTTCGTGTCCTTTTCGCCTCGAATATGCTCGAGAAGACACGACTACTCCCCTAACACTTCCTACTCGCGGACATCGCGCCAACACTCATCTTTCAATCCCTTGGCTCGAGATTTATTCGTGAGTCCGCCAGATAGAAATAAACGAGTGAACACGCTCCCGTATCATGATACTTGCAGAAAGCGACGTCATCCCCGGAAATTAAGTAGAGACTACGGAATCTTTGTCGCCTTTGGTCATGAAGTCACGTTGATCGACACCACGTGGAAAATGTTCGTGTATGTTCATTTTTCGTTCAACGAACGAACTTACAAAAGTCATTTATCTCTTTCTAGAATCGAACATTACATTAACCTTCTAAGAACGGAGTATTTAAATCCGTCCTTCGCTGATGGACGGATTTAAATCGCCAGGCGAAGTTTAATTTTACATGTTTTCACGTAAATTATTGTGGTTCCTATATTTTCAAAGTTAA